TGCTTAAGAATGTGCTTCACCTAGTAAGTGCTTTGCCAAAATGAAGCTTCCCATGCCCATTACGATTGCTCTAAAGTCAGAGCAAGCAGATGCAGAGACCATTTTTACTCCAATATTGGCCAAAATGAGAGAGAAAAAGAGCTGGCAGTGGAACAAGGGCCCTATGTTCTCAGATATTTGAAGCTGGATTTAAATCCTTCCTCGCAGAGGTGTGTTGGTGCTAATGATTTAATGACATTGATACTGTCACACTGGGGGAAACAGACTCCATGAGCCACCGCAGGTCACTTTACAGTCAAATAATTCTCAAGAGTGATGTGGAGTTTCCAAAATGCTGAGTTGTTGCTGAGAGGAAGTGGTGGTGGTGGCTCATTACCCTCCTTCTTTTCCTCATTTCTATCTTGGTAGCCAGCAAAAATGATGAATATGGGAAAATTACTTTTAAATGGGGCTTGGTAGCAATTTTTGTTGTTTCCTTGAGTGGGACAGTGCTTCTTTCAGCAAGGGAGGCACCAGCATGAATTTGGCAGGAGATTCCTCCCAACATTGGCTCAGTTCCTTTGACTCTGAGGCAATGGGACCCTCAGGGCACATGTACACTAGGAAATTAATTCAAAATAACGCCTGAAATAACTATTTCTAAATAAGCTTATTGCCCAAGGGAAGCAGGAGTCCAGGCTTCAAAATAACCAGACTGTTATTTTGAAATAACAGGCTTGATAGTGTGGAAGCTCCACTTATTATTTCAAAATAAGGCCAGTTATGTCAAAATAATTCCCCAGAGTCGATCAGGGAGAGTAGGAAACAATCATTTATTTTCAGTGGCATTAGACAATTGTAAGATTAGAGGCGATGACCGAGACTTTTCCCTCAGGATTTAGACACATCAGCCACTCATTAGAATGGAAGATGTTTAAGAGCCTAAGCCACTTAGAGTATCAATGCATGACATTGCCTCACACCTTCACATCATACACTGACCCACATCTCCTTCAGATGGTTACCGTAAAATCACGAGTATAATGCGCACCTATGTATAATGTGCACCCTGACTTTAGAATCTTAGCATAATGAAAAAAACTGAACTCCTATGTACAATGTGCACCCCATTGTACAGGAAAATGGGAGGTAACCTGTTTCTGAAGTCCAGAATTTCTTGGTTTCTACTAAACTGGAACACAACATTTGATTATCCTTAAACCAGATCTGAAGCTACAGGGAAACACATGCACCAGGGAGCCGGCGGGTGCTGTGGGTGGCAACATGGCCTGCCCTGCTGCGCCAGGAGCCAACCCACCAGCACCAAGCCCAGGCTCGCTCGCTTCCCGAAGGTGGCTCCAGGCTGCAGGAGAGCAGGAGGGGGGGACGTGCTGCTTCTACCTGCAGGCTTGCCTGGGAAATGCGCGTGCAGTGGACAGTTGCCCGCGAGCCGCGCCGAGCTCGCACCTGCCGTGGGGAACCCCAGGGACTCCCAGGCACAGCCTGAAGGAGCACCAGGCAGGCAGCAAGCCAGGGCACTGCACCCTGGTGGCGCCAGTGGCGCCACCGGCTCCTCGCCTTGTCCAGGAGCCTGGTGGGGCGGAAGGCCCTGCGCTCCTCTGTGCAGAGGAGAGGGGGGAGTTTAAAACTTTTTAAAGAAATGCTCCTATGTATAATGCACACCCTGATTTTGAGCCTAAAAAACTGGGAGGGGGGGAGTGCGCATTATACTCACGATTTTACGGTAGTTTGAAGAACAATGGCAGGTGGGTTTGCATCTTGATCATCGACTGGCTTTACAGTGTGATTCTAATGAGCGGTAGAGATGTAGCCGTGTTAGTCTGGGGTAGCTGAAGCAAAATGCAGGACAATGTAGCACTTTAAAGACTTGTTAGTCTTTAAAGATTCTAGTGAGCCAGTTTATAAATCAGTGCAGAAAGGTAGATTAATCTTTGTGGACTGCCACTGACAGTAGGTGTATGTCCCAAGGAAATCAGGTCTCTGCTTTTATCTAGCCCCGGATCTCTCTCTCACCCCCTATGTGATTGGAGAAAATGAGGCAGAGAGACGTGAATGTGAGTCAGTTCTCCTCTTACCCCGCTGGGAAGAGCACACTGGTCTCTACACGCCTAGTTGTCTGCTCTAACGGGCCAGTGTCAAGTATGCTCATCTTCTGAATAGGCCCATTGCCCTGGGGCCCTATATTTTGCCTTTATACTGGAAATGTTTTACTGGGAAGCTCTGGGGCCTGGCTGCCGCTTTCCTCACATACAAGGAAGCGGAGGCCTAGATTCCTGCGAGGGGGGCAGACGGGCAGGCACACAGTAGGATGAGATTCTTCTGACAGTCATTGCTCGGCAGCGTGTGTCATTTTGAATGTCTCAGCTAGTGGAAGCCCAGCTCAGAAACCATAAGTGGACAGTGCTGTATGCAACAAAGCTGACAGCCACATTTCTCTAGTAGTTCATTCATAGTAGCCCCAGTCACAATGAATGAGATCTCCAGTGGAAGAGCTGCAGTTCTGCTGTTAAGTGTCTGGGCCCTGCCTCGAGGGCGGGGGTCAGCAACCTTTCCCAAGGGGCATGCCAAGATTTAACCCTCCTGCCCTGGGCCGCGCCGCTCTCCTGGGATGGGCTCTCTCCACTGTTCGCCCCGCTTGGGCTCCTGCCCTGGGCTCTGCTCCCGTTCTTCTGTGGGGAGGGGAGGAGCAGCACATGTGCCCGCTTCCCCTCAAGCCGGATCTGGAGTGGTGCCTCGGGACTTCCCACGCCAGCCTGAGCTGCCAGACTTTGTCTTCAGTGCATGTGCATGCCACCTCTTCCACCCTCTTGCAATTGGCTCCTGTCCTGGGGGCTGTGATGGAGCCAGGAATGCGCTTTGAATTCCCCGCCCTAGGTGGAGAAATAAAAGGGGCCAAACTGCCACAAGGGGTGGCTAAGCACAAACATGCCTAAACTCTTCCCCCCGCCCCTCCAAGCTCAGGCTCACGTCTGCGGGGCACACGCAATGAACAGGCTCCCCCTCACTTCCCCCATCCCCTGCAGAAAGCCGACACTGGCTCCAATCTTCCAGGGGCACAATGTTGGATCACCAACACAGATGGATCATTGTGGGGGGGGGGGGGGGGGGGGGG